GCCTTGGGATAGGTGAACAATGTTTGTAAACTTGTTAACTATATATATGGATTAAAACAAGCTCCAAACCAACGACATCACAAGTTTGATGAAGTCATGATGAAAAGTTGTTTTAGAATTAATGAGTGTCATAGGTGTATCTATATGGAAAGAACCACTCATGGTTGTGTCATACTGTAATTATATGTTGATGATCTACATATCATTGGTAGTAATAACATGATGAAATATCCACAAAGAATATGCTGAAAATCAATTTTGACATGAAAGATATGGGTTTAGCAGATGTGATTCTTGGAGTTAAGATCACAAGAACCCCGTTCGGTTTGAGTTTAAGTCAAGCACACTATATGGATAAGATTCTTGAAAAATTGATAAGGGAAATACTAGCATAGCTAGAACTCCAATTGACATTAGTCAATATCTAAATAAAAATAGAACTGACAGTGTTGATCAAGTGGAATATTCAAGAATTATTGGAAGTCTGATGTATCTAATGAGTTGTAGCAGACCTGACTTAGCATATGATGTGAGCAGACTAAGGTGATATACTATTTAACCCAATTGCAAACACTAGAAGAGTATTACAAGGTTTCTAAGTTATGTGAGATACATGTGAGAATATGGATTGGATTATGGAAAACATTCAATAGTTATCGAAGGATATATTGATGCAAATTGGATATCTGACATAAAAGATTCCAGATCTACACGCGGATATGTATTTACACTTGGAGGTGTTGCTATAGCTTAGAAATCATCCAGGAAAATGGTTATATCCCGATCTACAATTGAATATGAATTTATCGCCTTAGTTATTTGTGGTAAAAAGGCAGAGTGGCTATGCCATTTTGTAGAGGACATTCTCGAATGGCCAAACCTGGTATGGAGCATATGCATACATTGTGATAACCAATAAGCAATTGGTAGAGCGCAATGTATAATGTATAATGGAAATTCCAGGCATATTAGACGTAGACAAAAAACAATATGACAACTAATATTAATGGTGTTTATCACATAATACTGAGTCAAGTCAAAACATGATTACTATCTCAACAACATATATATTCAACTCTACATTGGTTAATATCCCTCATTTATTATAAGAAGATACAAGCAAAAACGACATTGTGGCATCACTTTTGGTAATCAACAATCTGACATCATTACCCTTGAGTTGTTTAAAAATGGTTACTTTTTGATGTTTTGAATTTTATTATAGGGGCAGAATTGGAATTCACTTTCTGAGAGGTTAGATAGCTATGATTTGTTTTTTGATTAAAGAAAAATGTAGGTTTTTTTTTTTTCTGCTTAAAAAACATTACATTGTTGACATATTTCCTTGAGAGTTTCTTGACCTAACCAGGTATTGTTGCTAAAAAAGCATGCTTTGCCTCTGTGATGGAGGCTTTTCCAATACATGCTTTACATCTTCCTAAAAACCAACAACAAACATTTGATCAGATTTATCAAGAACCAAGAACTAAACCTCCACCAAATTTAGGGTGTTACTGTCAATAAGGTCAATAAGTCTTCCTAGTGTTCCAACATCACATCAACTCCACGAGACAATGCATTTTGCTGTGAATTATATGACCCGCCACCATAGACACAAACAATGCTCAAGTATGGAGTAGACTCTTTGATATCTGATTCTACTTGCCTTGCTAACTCCCTGGTAGGTGCTTGGATCATGACTCTGGGAAGACGTTGACCATGCCTTTTCATAAAAGATATAAGAAACTAGTTATATACAACATATTATTTGAATTACCAAGTACTAAATGTTATATTATTTGATTTAAAAAAAAAAAAAAAAAACTAGAGAAGCTTCAGGAGGATGAACAAGTTGACGAGCCATTCATTCGAAAATAAATAAAGATCAGATCTCCACAACGTGGAAGAAGTGAAAGATCTATTGTGACAATAAAGAATCTACAATTTAGCTATGAAGACAAGGTAATTCATTAATAATAAGGTTGAACTTTTTTATTTTCTTTGTGATAATTAAATATGTAAGGATATGCTCTTGTTTGTTTTTCGTAAGTTCTTTTAGAAAAAGCTAACATATCTATCGAAAGGGGTGATAAAGTTGCCATAAGTGGGCCAAATGGTTGTGGAAAGAGCACTCTAGTTAACTTAACTATGGGTTTACATAAGCCCAACAGTGGTGAAGTAATTCTTGGTGGACACAACGTGCTTCCAAACTACTTTGAGCAAAATCAGGTGACGTATTTTCCTTTGTTTCATAATTTCCTCATATTAAGGATGTTTGTTGTAAAGCATTTGGGAAAAGGGTACTCTACTTCGGCTAATTGAGAAAGCCTCATTTTTAAAATTTTATATTATGTTGTTCTTTCTGCATGAATTGAAAAAGAAACATCCATTTACATACTATATATATTATTAGATTAAGGGGTTGTTTTTTTTACTTAATGTGCTTGATGGGTTAAGAACATAATCTTGATTTATTCTACACAGAATGACTTGATGGGTTAAGCCAAAAACTCAGACTTAATGTATTAAAACACTAATTCTATGGCTGTTTTCCCTTCTTTTTTTTTGGTTTCCTCCCAACTCTTCTTTGGATAGGGTAAAATGGTCATTTCATTTCATTAAGATGGTTTATTTAATCTAGAATAGAAATAGACTCGGACAGAAATAACACCTTGATGTTTATAATAATAATGTTTAATACTAACAGAATAGGAGATTTTTCTATGAACTCAAATCAGAATCATCAATTTTTTAAACATGATGAGAAGGTTACCGAGGGATAAGGATAGTATTGTCAGTGAACAAGGTGAGCATGGACTAGTTCTGATCTATTGTCTATACAAAAGGCGTAAATATCCTTCTTATCCTCATAATTAAAAATAGTTCGCGTAACAAATATGAATGATTCCTTTAAGATTAGTGATTAAAGAGAATCACCCTCCATCGTATATGGTTTTCACCTTTGGTAACATAAGGATTCCTAGATTAAAGCTCATTATGTGATTGTGTGATTAATAAAAGTATTTGTGTTTAAGGTAATGCTTCAAGCCCTTACTTGCCATCCATGCCCGTTGGAC